AACTGTTGGCATTAAATTTAGTTTAAGAAGCTGGTATACAGTGAGGCTTCGGAACTAATTAATAGTCTCCAGCCCCATGCTCTGTGCTATGTAAAATTTCTCATGCTCCAATGATGGAGGAAAGGCAGGAAGATGACATGGAGTACAATCATGCACCACAATGTAAGAAAATAGCCTTTTCGAAGGCAAAGGAAAAGTGAACAGCATACCTCCAAAATATACATTCTGTAACAATACCACATAGATTGCAGGAAACATTACTAACATTACCACCTCATGGTACTGACCAGTGCCACGATGATTTCTGCAAAACTAGTGTTGCTCTTTTCATGTCCTTATCATTGTGCTGGGAATGAGTTCAGGTTGTGCACATATCCCACCTCACTCTCTAAAATGAAGCTTCAGTAACAGCCTAGGAAGAGATCACCCCACCAGTGAAAGGCTCATCGGACACACAGCACTGGCCAAGCCAGGCAAGGACATCTGACTCACACACATGGCGTGTAAATGTGCATTTGATACCATTTTTGAGTTCTAGAAATACAACAGAAGAATGATATTCTGCCTTTTAGTCTCAACACTAATAGTCTTTCACAGCTCTGTCAGCTTAATGGATTACATCCAAGTCTCATCCAGTGGAAACGACAAAATAGAGTTAAAATCAGTTCTTTCTGGTTGTGGTCCACAAGGAGATCTTAAGTGGTCTTGGCCCGTAAGAGTGGGGATTCCTTGACGAAAACTGATTAGATCAAATGGAAAATTATTGTTAGAAGTAAGAAAGTGCTTGACCTACCTCTAAATATTTCTTTTCTTGATGGTATAGTTCCACAAGCTTGTTACATACATCACACCATTTCTGCTTGTCACCACTAGAAAGAAGGAAGAAAATTCCCCCCAAACAAACTAAGTTATTCATATACTAGTGTAATTTTTTTCAAATTCTGACAAATAATTTTAAGTAAGTTCAGCTGTCAAACTGATACTTAGAATAAATACTACAAATTGCCCTAGAAGTTTTACTCATTGCTGCTCTGAATAAAAAAAAATACTACTTTTAGGGACTTTTTTAATCAGTTTTCAAAGTAAGACAACAGCCAAACACTACAGTCAACTACAGTGACAGCTGATTTAGGTTTGTTTAGAACTGTACCTCTATGAATTGCATGACACATATTCCGTGATCTTAAAGCAGTGAAAAATAAGCCTTCTTATTAATGCAGGCAATGAACTAACAAAAATAAATGCTTCAAGGCAGTGAGTTTAGATGGGAATAGGGCAACATGGAATTCCCTAACTACTAACCTTAAGTACAAGTAAACTAAATAAACAAACAAATAAACTAAGAGTTTTTGCTCTACCAAAAGAGACAGGAAACAGAAACCTTACCTAAGTAGACAAAACGTTAGCAAAAGGGCCAAATCACTCATGTGAGAAGGCTTTAAAAACCCGAAGTCTATACTGTATATCATCAATGGCATTCACTGAACTAGGAATCTTAAGACTGAATTAATGGCATTCAATATCCCTTACCTTTCATAGAGTTCCAAGAGTTTTAGGTAAACATCTGCTAAGTCTCCTTTGACATCTGTTTGGTTGGGTTTCTCATACAAATTTGCTAATCCCTTAAGAAAAAAACAAAAAAAAAGTACAGGAACTAAGATTTGCTGACAATGCTTATGTTTTATGAGAATGCTACCTGATCTGCATGCAAGAAATATTCCACTGCCTTCAATGGGGTCAAGTGTTAAGGCAGTAATCACTGTGCAGAATTCTGACCAGTCCACTCAATCTACTTCTATTAAGTGAAAAGCTTTCTTCACTTTCTTTACTAATGTCAACAATTCTTTGGAATTTGAATATATTACATGATCTTGTCTGCACAAAAGACAATATAAAAGTTCACTAGGTCATATGATTTTATATATATACATACTATATATATAAAAATGTGCAAAATATATAATAATATATATACCTAAGTATTGTATCAAGAAAGCCAGAATTTAATTGTATAAGTGAGGAAATTTCAACATACACTGAATTCAGGCCCCAACAGTTACATTTTAAAATAGCATTTATACTGAAAATATTAAGAACCTTATTATCTTAGAAAAACATTGATTGTTGATATCAGCAACAGACTTAATATGAAATCTTATGTTTCATGAATCAATAAACAACAAAATTGTAGGCTGTAATTCTATATTACAGTGGGCTGTAATGCACACACCACACATCTATTTTAAATGTATGCTTTTGCTTTCAAGTAACAACAATATTCATTAAAAAATCCACTTGATGCTGAAAGCTGGAAAAATACATTACTAGATAAAACACTTTCTCTCTGTAAGAGAACTGTAAAGTGTTTCTTGAGCTACAAGCATAGAAAATTTTACATGGACAAATTTACTGTATTTGTTTCAATTCTTGTTGTCCTTTGCATGTCTCACAGCTGTGTAGTCTCACAAGAAATACAAACTCTACTATACTGAAAATAAAATTCACCATGGTTATACTTTGGACACAAACCTAATAGGAACCTCATCTACTCCAAAGCTGCTGTGGAACTTCAGGGCCTCAAGAAAACAAGATACAAGTCTTAACTCTGCTTTATTCCTATATTCAACTCCATAGTGATACTTCTGAGGGAAACAAAAAATGGACATTCACATACCTGCCACGCCAGTAACTGGTTTGGTTCAAGTTCAATAGCTTTCTTGTATGCTCCTTTGGCCTGATCAGGCTGTTCTAACTCAGCAGCTGCCAGGCCAATGAATACCCAAGCATTGTAGTTATTTTTTTCTTGCTTCAAGACCGCCTAAAATATACAATTTTAAGTAAAACAGATGAAAGTAATAAGAAATAAGAAAACTTATAGATCCGTGTACTGAGTTTTATCACTATAGTTTGGTGGATTATTTTACATGGCAATATTAAAAGTTAAGTAATTCTAAGGAAGATGCTGAGATTAACTTCAGTTTCTTATGCCAGAGGATGCTTCACATCTGAAGTGCTGAGCTAGTAACCTGTATCTGTAGCTCAACAATTAAAGCACTCCTTTCAGGTCTGGACTAGAAATGGATTTTTATCTCTATCATTCTAGATTTAATTCTCTTATCGCCACATGCAAGCAAATTCAAAAGGAAGGGGAATGCAAGTTTACATGTGGGAAACTAACACAAATAATAAGTTAAATCTGAAAATCCATCTCAACTATTGCATCAATAAGGTACTTTACACTCTGCACTTCTACACTCTGCACTATTATACAGTTGTAGAGGTATAGGAAAAAGAACAAAATGTGCAAAAAGCCCCAAACTTACTTTCCAAATATAAAATTAATTACCTTGCAATGTTTTAAGGCCTCCTTATACTCTTTATTTCTTATTGCATCTCTAGCACTCTTTAATGCTGCTTTCACCTCCTTATTTGACATTGTGGCTGCTAAATACAAAGAACATATCATCAGTTCTTGCAAAAAATATTCTGACACGTACAAAATGTTTATATCTTTATTGCACAGAAGTTATTTTAAACAGAGAAATATAGTGCAGTATGCCAAAATGCATACAGCATTAGAAACTGATAAATAAATGACATGATTCAAAACTCACATTTAGCTCCAATGCAGGATTCAGTCATTATTCCAAACACCTAAATGATACAAAGTTGCTATCCAAGAATTAAACTTTTTTTACAGGTTAAGATTTAAGAGCCTGTAGTTAGACTTAGGAGAAAACACCCTACACATAGTAGCTCCTCTTTAAAAAGAAACTAAGCGTTGAACCGTGCTTAGGAACCCTATTGCCCGAGAAATGTGTTCCAGGGGCTGCTAAGAATCAGGATTTTTGTTGTGTGCTTTCTACAGCAGCACCACTGCCATCTGTCACTTATGCTCCAGTGTGGCCCACCCTGCTCCTCTCCCTTCACGTACACTTAAGACAGACTCTGCTTCTGACTACAGCCATGAATCAAAAAAGAAAAAACATTAAAGGACACAGCAACGAGGCATTCACGCTTTTGAACATGATTATGCACCCTTTTGGTGTATGTTGTACACCACAATCGAATCAGTGAGATATGATGAGACTAAGAAACAACAGTGCACCCAAAAAGATGCCAGCACCCAAAAAGATGAAAAAAAGCAACCAGCTGAAGAACAAAAAAACTTTTAAAGATCTGCAAAGCAAAAATAAAGCAATGGTTGAATTAGCCCCATTTTTATTGCTAATTTAGCAACGAAACGACATAGGATGACACCGAATTTCAAAGATTCCCTCAGAACCTATAAAGAAATGTGTCGGATTTGCATTCCTCAACAGCTCCTGGAGATAACTGGCTTCCCTACGAGGGAAGAGATGCTTTGGCCATCACAAACGCACCCCACTGCGGGCACCGTCCAGCATGAGCTGCACAGTCATCTACAAGCAAAATATCACTTCGGAGCAAACCCGGACACCGGGGAGATGACCGGCCCCCAGAGCGAGGCTATCCAGCCCGGCCTGGGGCTGGGGTCTGGGTCCGTGGACCGCCTGGGGAGGCAATCCAGACTGCAGCCCCTCAGGGTCCCCAGGTCTCCCTGGCGCACCGAGCCAGGCCACCATGGCGCCTCGCCACCCGCCACCCGCCACCCGCTCCTACCGCACCTCCAGCCACCGCCGCCGCCGCCACCTCAGCCGCCGCCCGATCACATGCGCACTCCGACTGCGGGGCAGTGACGCGTCAGGGCAGCCGCCATTTTCTCTTGAGGCACTGCGGGAGATGTAGTTCCCGTCTCCCGGGACACGCTGGGAACTGCAGGCCGCCGCCCGGGGCACTGTGGGAGTTGTAGGCCGCAGTGAGCGGGTATTGTGCGGTGGGGCCGAGTTTTTCGCCGTGGCAGAGCCCTGGAATCTGCTTTCGGAGCTGCTGTTCCTCTCGGTTCGGGAGCTGGGGGCTACGGTGGTAGGGCGATGCGAGACGGCGGGCCGCTGGAGCGAGCCGCGCTGGCGCTGCTCCTCATGGCCGCTGGAGCGGGAGCGAGGCCGCGGCCCGCCGCCCCCAGGGACCAGTCACGATCTAACGTGGTGCTGGTAGCCTGCGACTCCTTGGTGAGTGACGGGAGCGTGGAAGGGCACCCTGACAGGTAAGGGAGGGTGGGAAAATCCTCGGCGGTGGCCTGCACAGAACTGCCGAGGATGAGGCACCACGGCCGTAGGGGTGCACGGCCCAGGCGTGAGGCATGGGCATGCGCATACGGAGCTCCCTGGGCAGGACGCCCGCGGGACTGGGGGCTCGGCGGCGGCAGCCCCAGCGGCTGCAGGATTAGTAGCGGGCCCGCCGTGTGGCGAGGCACTCCGAGTGTTCAGCCCAGTGTTCCAAACCAAACGCGACCAGCTTCCCAGGAGGGTGCACCATGCTTGCATCAGAGGCGTTACAGCAGCCGAAAACCTCTGCGCAGGTGGCTCCCACGGTGCGGTGTGATACAGCTCGTCACCCGAAAGGAGGGCGTGCCAGCAGAAGTGGCAGAGCTGCCGCCGCTGGAACGACGGCTGGTGTGTTAAGTGAATGCTCTTCGGTTGGCTTGAAAAACCTAATGGCAAGCAAGGTCACTAAACCGTGTGGTCCTGCACATTGTAAATCCTAAAAATGTTAAGTCTCCACAACAAATAGAAGATTCCTATAATCACAGTTGAAATTACTGACCTACTGGGCATCAGATACCGGTTTACTGAGACTCTTAAAAGGTATAACAACACAATATACTTGTTAGACATGTATCTATAGCGGTTGACATTGTGATAATTGATAAAAGATTCGTGTTAATTACAAAAGCATTGGGGTTTGTATAAACCAGAATAGTAAGCTCTGAAGTGAAGCATGGACACTAGATAAAAGAAATTATATGATAAAATCATTATGTTTAAAATCACCTTATGTTATATTATGTTGTATTATGTTACATTATATTATGTTATGTTTTCCAAATAAGTTGTATCGGCTACCAGCTTGCAAAATCAGACTTCCCAATAGCCTTTCCTGCTTTTGTCTGATCAATACTGCTTATCTCAAGGATCAAACTTCCAGAACTTCTCTGGTGGTTATCTACAAGGACCAGATGGCTATCTGTGACTGATTATCGCCCGAAGGCTTTGTAAATTTGTGTAAGGATGTTTATTCAACCACCACTGCTTATAACAACAAAAACCCAAAAATTATTGATTACAACGAGAAACCACAGTACAAGAAGAGGCTGCAAACCAAGGTTCGGTGGAGCGTGGAGTGGGAGGTGACCCCTCACATTCCCCAGCGCGCTGCTTGCTCTGTCTATATCAAATAAAGCAATCTAAATTTCGCTGAATATCGAGACTTCTGTCACTCATTTATAACAACATCTATAGTCTTCATTGCAGTGATTTATTAGTACATTTGGTTTAACCCTCAGACACATAGAAATTTTTCCACTCAAATAGTAATCCTTGCGTGTATCTTCACAGTTTTGTCACTGTGCCCACCCAGCACACTGGAAATGCTTTCATGTATATTTTACTCTGAGGAGCCTTGGTTTCTCTTAACTCATCTGAACACTCCTTGTTGTGGAATCAAACATAAACTCTGTGGTGTTAAGCTGCAGGTGTTTTCACATTTCATTACTTCTTTCTCACTATTGAGGAAGTTTGATTCCTAGCCTTCTTGGGCTTCTATCCTTGACTGCCCGGATAAAAGCAGTTGGCTTCTTGCCAGCTGTTTTTCTTGGGATGAATTCTTCCTAAATATTTAGTAAACATGTATCATCTTTTTTCAAACTCCATCTTTAAACACATTTGTTGTGATTTCAAAGATAAAGAAATGGTTCCTTCTTTATTAATGTTATAGCTCCTTATTGGCTTTCGTTCCTTTGACTCTATTCTCTGTTAGTTTTCTTTTCAGTAAGTCATCTCTCTTAGTATTCCAAAATGATGCATGTCTTTTTCTCCAGATTTTCAGCTTTTACTAAAAGTCTATTTACCAATAGTTAAAATTACAGTATTTAAGGTTCTGAGGGTTAGTCAATGTCCATTTTATATCCAGATGCTAGCAGAGGCTGCAGACAAACCTTTGGTGAATTTTTATATGTCCCCTTTAAGCAGGAAATTCTAGTAAACAATATTACAGGGATTAATGAGGTAACTCTTGCAAAGAAGAAAGGTAAAACCCACAATATTTGTGGAATTCTTATGTAAACAATTAAGAACAAGGTTTTTGAAAAGTGTCATATTTGCATACAAAGAATAATGTAGTAAAAAAATGTGTTAGGTAAGCTTTTTTCCTGAGATGATATTGAAGGTAGAAATAGATGAACCATTTTGATTACATTCACCAGTAGACAATAGGAAGGTTGAAACTAAGTTTTTCTAGAAAATAGAAAACGCTGAAGTCCTGTAGGCTGTTAAAAGGTTGAGACTTTTATTAGAAAGTGTGCCTGACTTTTTTGTTGTGGGTCACATTGAAGGAATCGCACCTATTTTGCCAAGTGGGACAAAAATTTTCTTCTCAGTGATGCTTGATTGTGTTTGGCCTGCAGAACAGTGACCTCTTGCTTGAGCTAGCTTTGTGCTAGCTAGCTTTGTGCTGCTGTGTCACATCAGGCATTGTCCTATTCCAAGGGTTTCCTGGTGAAATGTGCTAGTAGGCAATTCAGCTCCTGAATTACTACTTGAAATTAACTGTATGATGGATGACAGATTTTGCTTGCAATGCAGCTCAAGTTCCTGGATGAAAGGTGCTTGTTTGTGTTAATTTTATTTCCTTAGATATTTCAAAACCTAGAAATCCTACATAGTTCTTAGGTTTCCAGACACAATTTTTGTTGATTTCCAGCTTCTCAGCCAATTCCAGATGCTTACTACTTTCACTGAATACCCTGTCATCTATAGAAACAATAATCATGTCCCAGGACACCAAGCATACTGTGGCACAAAGTATATGCAGTTCTTTTGCTGCTGTGTCATTGAATATGGTATCACAGTATCAATATAAGGAACTCTTGTCTCCAGCTGTTCAAACAAGACTTTGTTGGAGAAACTTAATGTGTTGTTGATGGGACTGCAGAGCAGTTGTGTACTTTTGTCATGGTTTAGGAATGGTATTCTCCAATTTAGTGTTCCCACTGAAATCACTCCAAGGCAAGTGCCACTTGCTCACTCCTCTGTCCCACTCCTGTTCCTCTGTGGCAGGCTGGAGCAGAGAATTGGGGGCACAAAAGATAAAGGTCATGGATTGGGGTAAGAACAATTTACTAGAATCAGCAGAGCCAGAACAGTAATAGCAACAACATTAATAATAAAAATGTACAAGAGAGGTGAGCAATTCACATTTGAATGCTCACCACTATACTATGCAGAGCCCAACCAGTACCTGACTGCTGCCACACTACCCTGGAAGGAACCCTTTCCTCTGTTCCTGGAAAATGACATGAGGTGGTACACAATAACCTCCACGTCATAGCCTTGTCCCCTCCTGGCTACCACAAAAATGAACCCTATCCTGACTGGAACCAGGACAACTGTCTAAAGGGCACTTTCAGCCCAAAGTTTAGTTCAAATTCCAATTGCATATAACAGCTTTATTTCCAGTTTATCCTACTGAGTGCTTGTTCAAGATGCCATTTAGTAGTATACAAAATTAGTAGTATCCAAAATTAGCATGTTCTCATGATGTGAGCTGATTTCAGAGGCTGGGATGCTGCATTTAGCTCTACTGGTGCCAAATGAAGTGACTCTCTACCATGATGGATTTTCCAAGAGTATTTCTGCCAGAAACCAAATGTCAGGAATTACTTTTTTCTGCAGTTAAAACTGCAGATGCGCTATTGCCTGTCTGTTCACTAAAGAGCCAGTCAGGCTTCGGCTGTGTTGGCACATCTAATTCAAGCAAGGAAAGGAATAAAAGTGACAGCTAAAACACAATTACATGAGATATGGCACTCTGCATAAAACCTGGTTTCATGTGATGTTAATCTTTTACTGTAGCTTTACACTTTATTCAAAATGTTTAATCTTTTTAAAGTTACTGATTAAAAACTCTGTCTAAACAAATAGGTGAGAATGAAATTAACATGAAAGTATCAAAAGGGAGCCATTGTGGGTGGGATTTCTGTGGGAAAATAGCCTTCCTTTAGCTTTCTGATCCCTTTTCCAGTCTGTGGCTTCAGAGGTCACAGAGAAGTGGAATGGATAAATCTTTAAAAAGGATGAGGGATCAATGTTGGTTTCACAGAAATATGTGCTAGTGCACATATCTACATTAGAATTCAGCCTCACTCCTTGTTACCCTTCACTATACCTATTCCCACTGAATGCGTCATAGGAGGACCCCACCCCTGAAGAACTGGAGCTTGGTATATATGTATAGTGTTACAGTGGAATTAGTTTTACTGTAAAGGAGCCCAGTTATCTTTTCCAGTGCATTTCTTCAAAAGTGATTCCTTTTATAGTGATCTGCTTAGACCTTCTGGATTAATGCAGCCAATAGTTTGCATTAATGGTGTTTATGTGTTGCTTTTGTCTAATTACAGGATGGACGCTTGACATTTTTTCCAGGAAATCAGACTGTGAATTTACCTTCCATAAATTTTATGAAAAAACATGGCACTGTCTTTCTCAATGCCTACACCAATTCTCCAATTTGTTGTCCTTCTCGTGCAGGTAGAACCAAGAAAAACATCAGATAAATGCTTGCACATGTCAATTTAAATGTGGTAATGGTGGGGAATTTGAAATTATTTAACAGGATTTGGGGGTTTTTTGGTTGTTTTTTTGTTTGTTTGTTTGTTTTGGTTTGGTTTGGTTTGGGTTTTGGGGTTTTTTGTTTGTTTGTTTGTTTGTTTTTTGTTTATGTTTGAATTCTTATGGTGTTCTTCTCTTTCACCTGTTTCTCTCTTCTATTTCTTATGTTTCCTCCTTTTTTTTTTGTTCTCCTTTCTTCAGTGAAGTATAAGTTCCCAAATATTTTTACAAACTCCACTGAAGCTTCCGATTTTTTTTTAAATCTTCAGGATTTATAGAGAAATCATCCATTTGTTCTTCTATGGTGCTGAAACTACATTCAGAGCTACTCTCTCTTCCCAGTACAAAGTTAATAAATATCTTTCCTGTATTCAGCAAAGCGTAATAAATAATAACAGCCAAATAAAGTGGTAGCTGTTGCCATTGTCTTCTAGATACATGATGCATATTCCAGTAGCTTTAATCAAATACTTTCATGTTTTTCTTTACTTAATGTGGCTGTTGTTCTGTGTTCCATTTCACGCTTGCAGAATTTGCTAGGAAAATAAAAAGAAGTTATATTCCTCAATCAAAGGCTACATCTTAAAACATTTCTACCTTTTTCAGTTGTTGCAGAGACATTCCTTAATCTGTAGTTGTAAAAGAGATCCCCCTCCCTCTCAAAGCATACACTGAAAGAAGCAGCAAGCAAAGGCGGCCAAATATTGTATTACATTTTTAATATTCCCTTTATTGATTACCAAGTCCCCATTTATTTTTCTCATGGTCACATTTTAAGTGGGTGACGTTACATGAACAAGCAGTCAGCCTTTTTTTCCTTGTCTTGATGCTTGAGTCTTTCAGCCAATTTTTATTGCTAAGACCAATGACTTTATTTTGAATTACTTAATTTTAAGAAGTTTGTGAAAATGGCAGGTTAGTACACCTATGAGAAAGAAACTGCATAATGAATTAAATCATTCATCATTTATGTGTAGCATTATAGGTAGCCATGACCACTGAACTCATATGTGAGGCTCTGAACCAGTAAGACATCTTTTGCTTAGCCAGGAGCTTGGATAACTGCAAGGAACTGAGGGTTCATCTGTTGTGGAGGTGTCAGGGATGATACCAAAAGAGATGGTGGGAAAAAGGGCTTTGAGGTGGGGAAAGGACAAGTACTGCCATGAGGGGTTGATGCACTTGCTTATAGGGTATTTCTATGGCTTGTGAAATGATTTAGTTTTGTTTTGGGACTACCTTTAACTCTATATTAGAATTGGAAAGAGGAAATGATTCTTGATAAGCTGAAAAGAAATAGGAATTCACTAAAACAATCTTCCCTTATAGTTCCTTTGTCAACTCTTGCCTTGGTTTCCTTTCTTCTTGGTATCTTCTTTAATATTCTCACTTTGTTTCTGAAATTGATAATGAAGTAGATTACCTAAAAAGAATAAAATTGAGGGCATATTGTATTTATGAAAATACTATACTGTAATTCTGTCCACAAATACACTTAAATTTAAACTCACAATAAATCTAACTAGTAAGGGAACTAATACTCTGAAACACATGTAAATACATTCTTCTGCAATTCTGGGATTATTTGAGTAAATTTTATTACTTGTATTAATTATGAAATAAGATTTGGAAGAGTAATACTTCGTATTCCTTGCTCTCTCGTACCACAGTTTGGACTTTTAACCTCTGTAATAGTGAGAAGATTAATCCCTTCTCAACCATATAGGTGGGGGGTACTAATCACTCATAATTTTTTTTCCTAGCTATGTGGAGTGGTCTTTTCACTCATTTAACAGAATCTTGGAATAACTTCAAAGGTCTAGATCCAGATTATGTAACATGGATGGATCTAATGGAGAAGCATGGCTACCTTGCACAAAAGTTTGGGAAATTGGACTTTACTTCTGGACATCATTCAGTAAGGTAATCAGGTAGATTTCCTGCTATGAAATGGGCATGTAGTGATCATGTACTGGCCTGTCACGTGGTTTCAGTCTCCACTTGAAATTATAATAGCTTTACTTTAAAAGAAATTGTGTGTCTAGCAGAGATCTGTCCTGCAAGTTTATGGAGAAGCAAGCATATTCCTTGCAGCTGTACTTTGGCTGGTAGCTGTAGTTGAAAGGTAGCACAGAAACTGGTTTTGCCCAACATGAATGGTTATTTTCTACCACTGGTATTGCTCCCTAAGTGAAATTCATAAACTGTTTCTGCCTTGCCTTAAGACTTTCTGACTTCCTAGTTATATTAACAGTGTAGGAAAAGCAGAACAAAACCCCATACTTGTAATTATTTAATATGAAGCCTACTATCACAAAATGTAAGAGTTTTTGGGAGGTTTTTTTGAAGGCTGTAAGTGTTCACAGACTTGTGCTGCTGTGGTGAATTGACCCTGGATATACACCAGGGCCACCATGATAGACAATTGTTCTGTGTCTCCACCTCCTCCAGTGAGCAGGAAGGAGAAAAAACAATGACTCGATGGTGAGGATAAGGATTGAAAGAGATCACTCAGGTATACAGGCAAAAGAGACTTAACTTAGGAAAATTAATTTAATTTATCGCCAGTTAGAAGCAAGAGTAAGGTAATGAGAAGTAAACCCAAAGCTTAAAACACTTTCCCCCCCACCCTTCTATCCAGGCTCAATTTCCAGATTCTCTACCACATGTGTCAGCAGCACAGGGGTCTGGGAACGGGGACTGCAGTCAGTTCACCACACGTTATCTCTGCCAGGGGGAGAACTCCTTGCCTTCTTCTGCTTCAGTGTGGAGTCCCTCCCCCACTGAAAGAACAGTCCCCCACTAATTTGTCCAAAGTGAGTCCTTCCCATGGGCTGATGTTCTTCACAAAGTGCTCCAGCAAGGGTTCCTTCTATGAGATGTACTCCTTCAGGAAAAGACTGCTTCAATGTGGTTACAAGTACTGCCAGTAAACCTACTCCAGTACGGATTCCTTTCTGCAAGTGCACAGGTCCTGCTGGAAGTCTACTCCAGTGCAGGCTTTCCACAGGATCACAGCCTTCTTTGGATTTAGTTTGCTTTAGTGTGGGGTACTCCATAGGCTGCAGATGGATATCTGTTCCATGGACTGCAGAGGGACAACCTTCCTTACCATCTTCTCCATGGCCTGCAGGGGAATCTTCATTCTGTGTTGTTTTTATGAAGACACTCTATCTCATTGATTAATAATGATGTCCGTTGTTGAAATAATAATACAGAGAAGCTTTTTCTTTAATATTAAACAGGTTAGAATTACCTAATGTATCCTTTTTTGGTTTTGAGGGGATTTCGTTCTTTAAACTTGATCCTAATCTCAGTCTGACTGGATAATCAAACTGGTCTATGGCCGACGGTATTTTTTTCTTCTGTATAAATCAGTATTATGACATAAGGTGCAATTAGACACACACACACACTCCTTTATCATAATTTCATTTTAATGTTTATGAAATGTGCTTTTTCTGTAAACCAGATACCTTAATTTGTTCTCAGTAATTTATATAAGCCTGTTTAGGTTGAAACTGAGCCTAAAGAAGAAGCTAAAACAATAAAAATAATTGTTACAGGTAATTCTGAATAGCTCTTCTGGAAGTTAAAGTGCACTGGTAAAATTCCTTTGGGGATAAAACTAGTTAGATGCTCTTTAAACAATAATAATACTGTGTTTTGATAAAAGCATGGGATCAAACTTTGAATGGTTTTATACTTTCCTTTGTAATTTGGTTGGTTATATTGAAATTGCCATGAACAAGACAAAGATTAGTCAAGGTCTTCAATAGTCTGCCTCTTACCAATGCCCACCATCATTCACTCTAGCAAAGAAACCAGGACATTTGCAGCTCAGATTTTCTAGTGTCTTAGAGAGACAACAATATTAGAAAATATGTTCAAAAATATTTTATCATTAAAATGTTGCCATTTTCCCCTCCTTCTTCCTTTCTTTACGCTCTTTTCTGTTAATCGTTTGATACAATTCTTACGGATTTTTGTCTAAAGTGTGTTTAATTAATAGGGGGTAATCCTATTAATTAATTATTAATCTTAACAATCCACATCCAGAATGTTGTTTCTAAAGGCAGCCTCACTAGGCAAGTTATTTCCCACTAGACTCTTTCAAATAAAAATCTCAGGCCCAGTTTACAAATGTATCGTGTGTGAATCTGTGCCAAAATGTAGAGAAGGGTACCCAAGATAGAGTGCTATTTCCAAATATTATTTTGTAGATGTGAGAAGAGCCATTCTGACATAAATGGATAATAAATAAGAAAGATTAAGAAGCAAAAAGACTGAAGGTCTGAGTATAAAATAGGTGCACAATCGTTATTACTCCATAGAATAACAATGTTTTATACAGGAATTGGAAATAGATTGTAGCTGAAACTATAGGGGAAGTTCTTCAGGAATTCATAATGCTTTTTGCTTGGAGGCAAAGTGAAGGAAACATTTTCTGCTGTGTATGTGACTTGTGTATGTGTTTTCAGTAACCGTGTGGAAGCTTGGACTAGGGATGTGAACTTCCTGCTCCGACAAGAAGGAAGACCCATGGTGAAACTTACAGGTCATAGGAAGCAGTTTAGAGTGATGGAAACAGATTGGCGGAATACTGATAAAGCAGTAAATTGGATAAAGGAAGAAGCAGTTAACTTTACTCGACCATTTATTCTGTACCTGGGACTAAATTTACCACACCCATATCCATCACCCTACGCGGGAGAAAATTTTGGATCCTCTACATTTTTAACATCTCCCTATTGGCTTGAAAAGGTAAGTGAAAATAAAATTTAAATATGAATTATTAATAACTGCACTTACTACAAACAGTATTTTATTACTGATTTTTCAATATAGACCCAGTTTTGATATTTAATTACACAGTAGTGTAATGAAGGTAGCATAGTGAACGTGAATGAGATGTTTGATTTCTAATTGAAGGCTAAGGAAATAGAAGCAACAAATTTGTCTCTATTGTGGGAAAATGTTTCTTAGCAGTAGTAATTGAATCAATAAGTAAATAGGGAGTTCAGTGGCTAGAAACACATTAAGAAAAATGAGATTGTTGCTCTTCTTAGCTGTAAATTAATTTTGGTCATGGTCTGAAGTTCATTGTTATGAACATTCTATACTTTGCTTGTTAGAAATTATATTTTATGTAATGATTTTGTCTGAGTTTTACAGTGAAAGATTGACTTTTTCTGCAGTATGGACCTAGAACATGAAGCAACAAAAGACACAACAGTCTTCCTTTCTGTTAACTTTTTCTGTTACTGTAGATTTTCAGGTGCAAGTGTCCTTATGTGTGTATGTGTAAAGCTAAGAAATAGCACTCCCTTCCAAAGAATAAATATTTTTTGTCTGTCTTGTATAGTTACCAGTTGCCATTATCTACCATAAAATATAAATGTATTACAATAGATTTAACTGCAGAAAGGCATTAATATTCTCTGCAGTTGCAGATTTAGAATTAGGTTGATAAGACTTTATGCTTCAAAAAACCCCCCCATATGCAGTTTATATAAATTGTAGCCTTTTCCACGAGAGAACTGCTAAAACACATTATCTAGGTGTACCAAAAATATAAATACTTAGAAAAAAGAATTTGCAAATGAAGGTTGAGAGATGTGAATTTTTTCATGTTAGTAAGAAATTTGTGGGAAGAGGAGGAGCTTGGGAAAAAAACCCCTTTCATTTACAAAAAGCAGGATGTAGTTTAGTTATTAAGGAAAAGGTGCTGAGTGCTAATTGCTAGGTGAGATGTGTCTTGGGACGCAAAGGTACTGTTTATCGAGTCATAGACAGAGTTATAACATCTTTGACGAATTTTTGTTCATCTTTTATCCAGTCACAGTACCTTAACTGCTCAGTTTGCTGGGGCCCTTCCCACCACTGTGTATATATACTGCGTTATGTGGACCACATATTACCATTTATTGACCATTGGCTGCTTCTTCTGCAGTGTAGCTCTTTTTTGGTCATGGAAGAAGCAATCTTTTAAAATCATAGAGGTAATCTCATGAGGAAGTTTGATCACATAGGTGAAGAACTGAATTAAATGTCCTCTTTATTGAGCTGTAATACAGAGCAGAGGATCAACATGGTATGTTTGTGAAACCCTGTGTAGTTAAGCCCTGTATTTTGCACAAGCTGTCATTTTTTCAGGACATGTGGCTTCTTTCCTAGTTATGAACTACATGTCTTGGTTTAAGATGATTCAAAGAGGTAGACACTAAAATTAGTTCCTCCCCTTAGTTTCAACCAATCCCTTTCCACCAATAAGGAACCAATACCAAGAGATATAAGTGAAAAAATAACAGTTTACTAACAAGTGAAACAGCAACATGCAAAAAATAGCAGTGAATAATCACTGAATACAAACTTGCTGAATCTCCGAAGGTCCACAGGAATAGACCCAAAACACGTGGGTTAGTGCTCCCTTTTAATCTGACGGCCCCCCACTGCTGACTGCCTGCAGGAGCAAAAGGAAGACAGTGTCAGACTCTTTCCAAGGTGGCACCTGCCACGGGTGACGGCATGCACTCCAAGAAACAAATGGAACGGATGACAGCAAACCCTTCTGGGAAGTTTTGAGTTTAGGAAGGTCTAGTGGCAGATGGAAGTGCTGGCACACATAGGATCAGCACTACCACTCGCTGCTTCATCTTGCACCCACCGGACTCCGCCGGTGTTGGTGCTGGTGCCTTCTGATCTGCTATCATGCTGGAGAAGGGAGCAGGGGAAACTGGTCTCTGTACACTGATACGGGGTGGCCCAACCTGCAGGGGCCTGATCAAGCTTCACTGTCTATAGAGTTTGCAAAGATCACTGCAAATATGATTTATGATTGTTAAATGCAGTTTTTCCGAGTTGCAAGCCCAGAAACGCACCCCTATCAATCCTCTCTGGAGCAGTCTCCTCCTTCTGCAGAAGAGGAAATCACCTTAGGTTTCTTGACCTTTTAAAGGCATTGGTACCTCCCAACTGCCGTGAAATTCTGGTTCCAGCCATACTTTGAGTCATAAAGACACAAAAGCAATCTTACGGCACAGATCGGTATGGAATACAGTAACATTTTGGATTACCCAGGACGTTATGATAGACAGACAGGGGGATTGTGGCTTTGTGAATCCTTAAAGCTAGGCTGAAGTCCTATAGGAAAGAATCATAGATGGAGAGGGACACTTTTTGCTCTCTTAAGCAGCTAATACCATTTGCAAAGTCCAAAATGTAACTTTATGTAGTTAAGGACCTTGAGCAATAAAAAAATGACTGGAGCAAAATTATTTTATCTTCGTGATTTTTTCTAGCAGTGTGTTTTCTATAGATCCTAAGGAAACTTACATTTTGGTGTGTCTGTTTAACTGCTACAAAGCCGGGTTTTACTTCTGTGGGTGCTTAAACTCTTGCAGATTGATCAACTTGTTTAGTTGTCAGGCTTTTCCTCCAAGTAACAAGTGAAAATATAGGAGGAAATTACCTCAAGTTCCCTTTTATTTAAGGAAATATTTACAGGTATGACAGCCAAGTCTAAATGTGTATGTCAAATTTCAAGACTGAAGCTAGTACTGAAGCATCTGTGACTATGCCTAGTTTGAATATACAAATAGATTGGCTTTTTAGTTTCATACTGATTTTACATTTCTTTATAATGGATTGACATATGTAAAAACATGTAGAAAGTATTAGAAAATTGAATTAATGTATTCAGTTATTTTTATCAAGGTGCCAATACTTGTCATCACTGTCCTGGAGGCTTTCTCAGACTACATGATTTTCCATGTTGTTCTCTAGTCCCACATAACACTCAATCTTGTAGATCCATGGGTTTATATTTGTTCTACAGTTATGAAGACTATATCTTCTGTATCTACTCTAGAAGAGTGTTCTGTGATATCTCTCTTAAAAATATACAGCAGTTGGTAAACCACATATTTGTGGCTCCTAGCCTTAGTTTCTAGTTGATTTTCATAGGCTTTTAACATAATTTACCTGTGGAAGCTGTGGGGAAGTATGGAGGAGGTAGCTGCGTGGTGTAACAAATAAGCATAGTGTTTCCTGGGCCACAAATTGAGAACTGTAAATTTATGCTATACATTTTTAAATTAAATCTGTGTTAAAAAAACTTGCTAAATTCAGTTGCTAAAGTATTGTTAATTTCCTCTTCTTTTTTAGGTAAATTATGAAGCTATTAAAATACCCAAGTGGTCTGCTCTTTCAGAGATGCATCGAGTAGACTATTACTCATCGTACACCAAGAATTGCACAGGAGAGTTTTCAAAGGAAGAAGTGAGAAATATTAGAGCATTTTATTATGCTATGTGTGCAGAAACAGATGCCATGCTGGGTAGGTAATGTCTTACTACTCAGGGGGTTTTCTAGTTCTGATTTCTTTTAAAGAAAGTGCTGATAGGGCTGATCTTTGGGGGAAAAAGATAGAAAACAAAACACCAAAAGTCACATCTGGGAATAAGTTGTGGAAGTTGCTTATTCAGTCTATATGATAATGACAGGATAGCCTTTTAGGTGAATTGAGAGCACTGTGAAAAGTAATCACAGCCAGCAGTCAGAAACTCTGTAGAAAACCAATGACTGCAGCAAAATATTGCACGACCCATTGCACCGGTTTAAAACCCAATGGGAAAACTACCCCACACAAGCTGCCCTTCTTCCCCCATCCTCTTTTGATAGCACAGGAAATACTAGGAGAGACCACAAGAGGGAACAACAATTCTACTGAAAAACTTGAGATAAACACAACGATATCCATAAAAGAGGACACAAAAGGAGCGTGCCCTACCCAAAGAGGGGTGTTCTCCAAAAAAACCCAAAAACACTCCCCAAAGAGAGTACCCAGTGTGGTTTTCCCAGACAAAGGCAGGATGGCACCTGTCATCTCCATCCCCTCCACACTGGACCACGCAGCTCAGAAAAACAAAAGCAGTGATTGAGGCAAAAAAGTTTCTGCAGTTTATTGTACTTCCCCCAGCCTGAAAAAAATGGAAAATAGGGACAAAAAAAGGCTGGAGAGCTAATTAATCCAAATAAACAGTCCTGCTGCTGAAACTGCTGGTCCTGACAGTGGCAGCAGATGAAGAAACAGCAGCAGTGATGGTGGCAGCAGCTTGTCTGATCTTCCCGCTGCTCCAGCAACAGTTACAGCTTGTCAGGGTTTCAGAAACAGTTACAGCCGCCTGTGACTTCAGCAATAGGTAAGGGAGCAGTTCACACCTTTTCACCACCAAGGTAAGACTGAATCAACTTCAACACACCTTGATGTTTCCTGATGAAAATCATGCCTCCTCTGTGACATAAGTGGTATGTTGTTAAGCAGCACTGGAAACTCCACCCCTCTTTTCCTCTGTACCCAGGACAGCCATGTACAAGAGGAACTAAATCTCTTTGACTAAGTGCTAACTGAAATAATGGAAACATTTTTGTGAAGGGGACAGACTGTAAAAACTGAGCTGGAAGAAAAGAAAATTTTAGGGCATAAGTAGTTTTCCTTAGAGACTGAGTCCAAGTGTTTAGACTGGGTAACAGCTGTTACACATAAACTGAACAATAAGGTTACATTTGGAGTGTCCCTTAGAAGCATATTATTGAAAGATATGCAGAAATAATTAATTGTACATTCAGAATTCTTCAGAGTTTGCAGGAAGGTCTACAGATATAAAATTTGCAAAGCAAGTTGGTTTTAATTTACAGCATTTTATTTTTTTATTTGAAAAGTGACCATGAGTGAACAAGAATTTTTTTGCATGCTAATGTGAAATTAATGATCAAATAAGCTTATCTTTTAGGCATATGTCCAGGACATAAACCAGGACAGTATATTAGACTGGTAAAGTGAATTAAAAGACACAACTGTTCTTCCTCATTTTACAAATGAAGAGAGTTCAACGGAAGCCTTACAACTTTAGGAAATTAAGGGATTTCAAAGCACCTGCACTGCAGCTGTTATTTTATAACATCTTTCAACTAGTGTGTTTAGGCATAAATCATCCTAAAGTTTTAATATTTAAGATATCGAAGTGCTTTGCTTAAATACCAGCTTCATTGATTTTGTTCCTGTCTTTGTTGCACAAATATACTTACAACTTATATGTTGTGTCTTCATTGCACAAATATATGTGCAACAAGAGAGTTGTTTTCTTCACTGATTAGGAGAGCTCTTTGAAATTTGCATGCTGCTTTGCAGGTACAGACCTTGGAAGAAGTATTTTCAATGTATACTTTTTAGTATCTTTTTGTTATTGCAGGTGAGATTATTTCAGCTCTGCGAGATACAGGACTTCTTGGAAAAACAGTCATTATATTCACTGCAGATCATGGAGAGCTTGCTATGGAACACCGTCAGTTCTATAAAATGAGCATGTATGAGGGAAGTTCCCATGTTCCTCTTTTAGTTATGGGGCCAGGTATAAGAGAACAGCAGCAAATACCAAATATAGTATCTCTTGTGGATATATATCCTACTATGCTTGGTGAGTTAAGTAATTTCAGGTGACAATTTTTTTCCCTGTTACTGTTACTGTTTGTATCATAGTATCATAGTCAGAATGATGTCTCCACGTTGAGGCAATATAGTAACACAGCAGGAGATAATTTATCTGTGGACCATATACATGGACTTAATAGAAAAAGTAAAAAATGGATGAAAAAATAAAATAAAGAAACTTATGATCTTCCTTATTACTGTCATCCACATCATTACGGTGACTGATTATATATAGTATATATAGTATATATATATATTATATATATATTACTAAAAAAGGGAATAAAACCCACTTTAGATATGAATAATTCTTACTAGCCTTCAAACCCAGCAGATTACTATAGAAATTACAGTGTAAGTGCATCCAGAGATGAGATTAAACCTGAAAGGAGGACAGATTAGTTAATTTAGCAAAGAAATGTCTTTTTTGAAGGGTCATGTGGAAGAGGTGTGATGTAAACTTTGTATAGGAAATGTACAAATGATCTGGGCAAGTGTATAAAGATGTGATAATGGATATCCATTCTTACCTTACGAGATATGAAAATACTTAGTATTGGACAGAGAATCAAATAAAAAGAACTTAAATTACTTAGATGGAAATCACTTTTAAGAGGGAATTTTTGAACAGTTATCTGTTATAAATCATGCAAGAGACAATTCTGATTGGAATTAAATGTCAGATAAAGTTATCTTTTGAGCCTTTATCCATGATCTTTTAGACTTCCAGTCAGAAAAAAATGTTCTTTTCAAACCAGTCTGGAAGGCTTGCTCTCTCAGAGGTGTCACATGTACACTGGAATGGCCTGGAGAACATGAGTGAATAAAACTGCACTTCTAGCAGTAAATGTCAGTGAAAAATCCACTTCTATATTGTTTTAAGTTGCTTTCTAAAAAATAAACGGAAGTTATTATCTGTTTATGTCTTCTCGAAACTTTTGAACCAGTTATCCAGTTAAAAATAGGATATAAAATCTGAGTGGCTTTGTCTTCCAAATTTTGACATCAAATTGTTATGTATATATATCCATACTAGATATGGATCTTATACCGGTTATGGTAGCATAGGATAACAGTTAAAAATCTCTTATTTCTTTGTTCCTCTTCCCCAAGTGACATAATTGGTCAGATGGTTTAACATCCTTCTGTCTTTTCCTCCTGGGAAGTTTTTCGTTTGGGCTTTTTTTCCCCAGAACTTTGTGTGCATAGTCTATTCCTCCTATTCTGCAGCTCCCCTTCTCTGTACTCTGAATGTCAAAAAGGCATGTATGACAAAAATGAAAACATGAAGAGCCGTCTCTATCATGTATCATGCTCTCAGTCTGCATGCTGCTGCTGACTAGTGAGGAAACGGATTTTAAGTCTTATTTTTGTGACAAATTTACTTGCTTTGCTTTATGTTGTCTCAGGGAAATAATCTCCCTTAACATGGCATGCAAGTGCTTTGCTCAAGACTGCCTCCTGCACTGGCTTTGAAAATAAATGCAAATGTTTTGATTCCAGCAGAATCTGTGTGATGCGAATGTACAGTTGGAAGTGCAACAGCTCTTGCATTTTGTAACAGGATGTAGCATAATCTCCAGGCAGCACTAGCTTTATTGGTCTGTATGGAAGTACCTTTGTCTATTGGAAAAGCAGGAGCTGCTGAAGGTGGCTGGAACATTCTTTGCACGTAGAGAATCCAGTTACTGCAAGTAATAGTGTTGCTGGTTTAGGATGACAGAAGAACCCATCTCCCTTCTTCATTTGTTGGAATGCAATATGTGTTTGTTCAATTTTTTTTGCCCAAGCATGCCCAGGAGCTGCTTGCTAGGTTTACACCTTACAGGTCTTCCTAGTACTTAGTCAGATGATGGCTGGACAGAGAACAAAAAGGAAGACGTGCTGATGAAGGAAAGAGCCACCTATCAGCAATTTATATGCACAGAGTATAACCACTCAACACAGAATGGATTAAATACTACCACAGTGCTCTGTGAAATGGGAAGTTTTGGATTTTGAATTACTATAAACAATGTTCAGTGGGGTGAACAGCAGTACTGTCATACCTTTTTTTTAGGATATGCTTGGGATTCGCAGCTATGTTTTTCAGAATGTTTCTGAAAAACTTTTGCAGCCTTTTAACCTGATCTTTGGGATCTAGAGAAACTTGTGGTATAAATTGATGCTGAGGACTTTATGGATATTGCAGTATCTCCTAATGTTTGTCTGGAGCGCTAAGGAGTCGTCCAGTGTTTTCTGTACATGCACTATGTTGATATCACCTCAAATATCATCTTTATCTCCAGTCCTGCTGGAGAAGCAAGTGGCTCTACTGCTCAAGTGTCCCCACCAGCTACAGTGATAATAATGGCCACCTTTTATAAAGCATTTCATTATTCAGTAATGAAGCATGCTATAGATAAGCTTAGCACCATGATTGCTCAAGAAATAAATGGTTACAACATGTTGGATTGTGAAGCTTTTAGGGTCCCTTTGTGCTGTGTTATTCTTTTTCTCCTGCCTGAGGTATTCAGAACAGAAGAGAAATGTTTGCAACCACAAATCCACAAAATCTATTTGATTAAGGCATAAAACAGCACCATCCATCAAAGGAGATTATTGTGATCCTTTTTCACAAACTTCTGTTAAAGGTTGAGTTATACGTAGGTGATACATTTGGTCAAGATGGTGGGCAGCTTGCCTTGGAAAATTCCTTAAGGTATTTTTTATTGTGTATTTTGGGATAATAATTAGGAGAGCACATTTTATTATCAACATTCAGATACTGGTAACATTGTTAGGCTCTTTTAATCATGACAACTGCAGGAGCATTTTCATTTTATCTGTCTTTCCCTAGATATAGCAAGAATTCCTGTCCCACAAAACCTCAGTGGATATTCTCTTATACCGCTGCTACGTGAAAAAGCTGAGAGCGAAACGTCACCTAGAGGACCTCGGCCCTCATGGGTGCTGAGTGAGTTCCATGGGTGCAATGTGAATTCCTCTGTGTATATGCTGAGAACTGGCAAGTGGAAGTACATCACATACTCCGATGGCTCTTCAGTACCACCCCAACTCTTTGGTATGCTACTTTTATGTTTTGACTGACTCATTAATTTACTTTATTGCAAATTGAATCTTAACTGATTCTTTGTTTGTTACAGACCTTACTGCTGATCCAGATGAGCTTACAAATGTTGCCATAAAATTCCCAGTAACTGTACATTCCTTGGACAAAATACTTCGCTCCATAGTTAACTATCCAAAGGTTTCTTCTTCTGTTCAGGAGTATAACAAACAACAGTTTATCAGTTGGAAGCAAAGTTTGGGTCACAATTACTCAAGTGTTATTGCAAACCTTAGGTGGCATCAAGACTGGTTAAAGGACCAGAAAAAGTATGAAAATGCAATTGACAAGTGGCTTGGTAAGTAGATACAGACAACCTGGATTTCAAATGAATGAGGATATAAAAACATTGTACATTTGTAATATTATGCTGTATTTCAAGTGTTAGAATTATGTTCTTATATAGCCTATTGAAAGTAAAGATTCCTGAACTATTACATCTTTGTATTAGTAAACCAAGAGCTTTTTATATAACTAGCCAGCACAACAAAACTGGAGTTCTAGATGTTATTGTGTAAGTGTATATAGAAAGAGTAGTATGCAAATACTAATTGTGTGTATGGAATATTTAGCTGATTGCAAAATTACGGAGTATTTTAAGCATTCAAAGTCAATAGGAATCCATTAATAAGGAAAAGCAAGGATTATAAAATTTGGTGAAGTACCAGTTACAGTGAAATTTGCTTTGTGTTTTATAAGTCTAGATTGAATATACGTTCATCCACTTTAGAGAATCTATAGCAATTAAAATATAATCAAAAAGTTGGTAACCAGTCCAGGTCTGAACATAGATGTGATTTCTGCAAGTACTTAACTATATCAGCATACCTGTGTTACATGTGATTGACTCCCCATGTTTACAAGGTCAGCCTTGAAAGATCTTGCTTCTGGATCTGGTACTTACCACTCCCTGCTGTTTAAAATTCCATTATATGCATGGGGTCCTAATTGAATATGTGTACAAGTGAAGAGGAATCTCATCTCTGGTCATCATCATAAATTAAAAAAAAAACAAAAAACCCCCAACAAACAAACCAAAAAAACAAACCAAAAAAACCTCCCGTCTTGCCAAACCTATTGAGTAGAGCTGTTCTCTGAAAAATGATAGTGTGATATGCATAACATAAAGTAAAAGCTGCTTGAATGCAGTTAGATTCTGCAAGTAAATGTTTTGATGTGCATCAGTGAGTGGAGAACTGAAACCTAGAATGTACACTGAAGAGACACAATAGAAGCTTGCAGGGAAAGCTAACAGAAAAATACTATTTCCCATTTTTCCAGTGACCTGACAAAAAAAGAATGGTTTTGGAAGAACGTAAGATTTAGGTAACAGCTCTTCTACTTAAGGGAATATGTAATTACAGCAGCGCTTAGGTTTGCTAATTCATCATTGCTGCTATAGTACTAGTTGAAAATGACATTATACTTCATACATAAAATATTTTCTGGAAACTGTCATTAAATGCTCAGTAGTAGCAGCAAGCTAGTAAAAATAAACATTAAAATGAGACATATTTTCTGATGGCTACACACTCATATCATGAGCAACTTACCAGAGCTAAAAAGAGAGTTAAAAAATCTTGAAACCCTGTGGCCATTATAATTCTTATTAAAATAAGTTCAGGTATGGTTGAAATTACTTAAACAAAATAAATGGGCTGCATAATTAGAGGAAGTATTTATATCCATATAAAAGTTTGTTCAAGAGAAAAAAGAATAAAGAAACATCCTCACTTTCCAGAGGTCTGAACAGAATGCAGTACATTGTCCAAAATGGAGCAAAATAAAATTATAGTGAACTGGATGTGTTTTCTCTGTGTCATTTTAATGACTGTTTAAAATATAGGGAAAATTGTATTTTGTCAGTTCTGTGAATAGTGCATTCTTTGAAGAGATGAGCTTTTAAGACTCACTAATGTTAGGTTTACAAAAGTGCCATTTGCGAAATGGAAGAACAAATAGGGAAAAAACCTTGCAACCACATTTTGTGCCACACTGTCCAGAGAAGCCCAGTGCATGGGGACAGGCTTCTTGAAAATTCAGGAAAACCTAGGAATGAGCCAGCTCACAGAGCAGAGCTTGTTGTTCAGGAGACCTCGTAAAATCATTCTTCTGCTGGGTCATGGCTTGCAGTCTGATTGTAGTATGGAATATGTATCCTCAAAAAAAGCAAAGTAGAAAGATGAAAGAGAAATTATTAAAACAGAAGGCTGCACTCGCTAGTGTGATATTTAGAAAAGTTTTAGTTTCTGTTACTCTTGAGGAATAATTAGAAAGATTTGTGTTTTCCAGAGGACTAGAACTTTATAGATGTTTGTGACAATGGCAGTCAGAGCTAGGAAATGGTGATGGCAGGTAAAAAGGACTAGAAAAGATTTAAAAAATAATTGAATGCCTTGATTTCAGGAAAAAGTGTAAGGAACATAGATTAATAGAAATCATAAAATAATTCAGAAAAGCAGAATTTCCTTTGTGTGCTGTTGTGTTCTCTGTAATTTTTTACTGCCTTCCTTGGTTTTACCAGTTTTCCATTAAGTTTCTCTAGAAATATGACTAGAATTATTTCTTTGTGCTTTTATTTTCTTGTAGAGTCCTTGTAGACTCTTAGCAGGGATTTCTAGTTCTAAACACTGTAAAGGGATACGGGTTCCTAAATTTGTGTCTCCTTGAGTACTATTTTCAAACTTAACACTTTCAAAAATATTGAATGTGATTTTCTTCTACAAGAGATGTTGATGCTCTTCTGGGCACCCACTGTAGGTGTTGATTTTTGACAGGATGGATTGGGATGGCTAGGCATGCTTCTTCAACAAATCTAATTTAATCCCTCTTCAGGAGTCTGGCAAGTCTCTGACCAAAGATGCTTTTTCCCCTGCTTTGTCAGATAGGCTCCATTGCTCCCAGGAAAACAGGACGTGGCCAAAGGGCTGAGTAACCAAAGTCCTGACTATGGCACCATGGTCCAAATAATTTGTTGCCCCTGCCAGGTTCATCTGGCCATCTCATAATAATATAATTTCATAACCTATGAGCCCATAAAGAAAATACACATTATTACATCTGTCATTCTGGTTTCAGATTGTTCAGGCATAGCTAAGAATAAGCCTTTGAAATCTGAGGAAGTGTGTCAAAGCACATCCTCACAGTTGTGTTATGAGCCATTAGCAACAAGAATAAAGCATATTTTTAAACAAGTTTAGAAAATCAGGATAGCAGTATCATCTTTCAAGCTGATTTTCTCTCTTCTTTTCCTCTTAATTTTCAGCTTTTAAAGTGAAAGATAACATGTATCTTTCTGAAGTACCTTGCTGTCAAATGTTGATTTACAGCTTTAGATAAACAAAGGTTCTTGTTTCAGATTTTGTGAAGTCACATTACCTTTAATTCCTCTCTCTTACTGAAGGTGCAATGACTAGAAAGTTAAAATTAAAGTTGGAAGCAATGAACTTCTCCATAAAGCATCTTTAATCTTACAGAGGGAACTATCCTGAGGTGTTTAGGCATATGTAGAAAATTCCTCTGAGGCATTGAGCTATGAAAAGCTGGTATTTTTACACGATTCCTTGTAAACACTAAATCTATATATATATAACCTTATTGTTTTTAGAGCAGATCTGTATTGGAAACCTAGACAAACTCTGAGATTTAATGAAATGTAATTAATAACAACATCTATAAGATAGTTAAAATAATTTATTCTTTACAACAAACGGCCATACTTTTCTTTAGAATTATAAATTTTTATTTCTGTAATAGTATTAAAAAATTACCAGAAAAGTGCAAATATCCCCTTTACTATTGTCTGAGCATCCTGAGCCATTTACAATATAAACACCACCTGCTCATGGCGCAGGATGGATGTGTGTGTGCCATGCTTATAGACAATACTGCCCTTCATTGTAAACCGAGAAATTAATCTGTAAAATGCAAGATTTTTTGACAAACGTTGCAGTAAAGATTAGTCAGAGGCTGATACATAAAATGTTTTTGTTCTGTTTAATACAAACTGTGAATAAAATATAGTTATGAGAAGTAGTCACAATCCTAAGTCTTAAAATATCATGTCATAGATACACGAATTCACAGGAAAGTATGATGTAAAGATTATGAAGTGGAATGTGTTTACTTCAGGGAATACTAGGTGATGATGAAGAAAATCTAAATAAATTCCTCCAAGTTGCCTATTCTATTATGAATTGCTGAGTAACTCTAATCACAAATTAGTGAACTGCTGGCACCCTGTCCCAGTGGCATTCATCAAGTAGATACACCCGTCTTGCTTATCACATTTCTAGTAGTGATTGGCAGGGTTCTCCAAAAAGATTTGAAGAAAATTTTGTGTTAGTTACACAAATACATATTGGGAAAGGATTATTCTCCACACCAATGCATAGAAACTTTGTCTCTTAACCAGATTATATTTGGAATGCTACTTAAAAACCTAGAAAAAATTTATTTAGAAAAAAATGTTTCTAGAAATTATTATTCTTTTACAATAACTAATAACAAAAAAATTAGAGGTCAGGATGCTATCAAGTAACTAAATACATTAACTAAATAGATATAATTTTGTAGGAAAAACTGTAGGGCTAATTTACTGTTAGTTAATTAGTAAAAAGTTATCTAAATGAATAACTTTCATCATCATATTCCAGTTCATCTTCCTCATCATCCTCCAAAAGTCCATATTTAAATTTGTGATAAATTGTGCCATCCTTGCCCATGTATACAATGTCATCTTCATCATCATCATCTTCATAATCTCTATCTCTGTATTCAATCACTTGATTGTCATGGTAACTGGGACTCTTGTGGTAGTTGCTTACAGAGGAAGGAAAGGTTTTGGAGTGATTTGTCAACTTCTCATACCGTCCTTTATTGACAGGCTGGGTTTTGGTTTGTGCCTTTCTCCAGATGAATACAATGGCTCCGATGACAAGCAGAAGTAAAATGCAAGTGATAACAAAGAAAGTAGTTTTGCTTTTTCGCCCAGGAAGTAGAGTTGTCTGTAATACACAGTCATCTACAAATGCAATTAAAAACAAAAGAACAACAACAAAAAAAGATGAAATGAGCTTGCATTTGTGTGTTTGTGTGTGTCTTAAAAGTCTGGTACAGTGTGTCCAGTGCAGTAATAGCAGTCAACAAAATACCTAGCTTTTCTGATACCACAATGGTGTTTTTGCTGTTCTTATGCAGTAAGGATGTCAGTAAGGTTGTTGGCATATCTGTTCTTCATTATTAGATTCGAAATAATGAGAGAGAAGCAGAAAAGCTAGCAGAGCCACAGATGCAATGATTCAGATGTCTGTTCATTGAAGTAAGCTAATTCATAAACCAGTCAGTTTATGAAATGCCAGGCCATTTAACATAGTAGTTGTAAGTGCAAGAAGTTGTCATCTCCAGCATCAGACATAATGGTTGTTATTTGAGTAAAACCTTCCCTATTTTTGATGAAGCAGTAGAAACACAGTGTTTACCAATAGCACATTTTTGCTCTAGTCCAGTTTTTAGGCAGCATAATGTCAGCATAATCAGCCATAAAACACTTAGCACTATTCCTGCTCTTCAGCATGGTCCTACCTTGTGTGTAACTGCAGTCACAGCACTCTGGGGTTTCTGCTGGGTCAGTGTTGCTGCAGCAGGGCAGGCAGCGGCTTTCCTCCAGGAAGAGCTGCATGCTGGCTGGACAGACTGTGCAGTTGAGAGGACCAGGTCCCTTGCACTCAGTGCATGAGCTGTCGCATCTCTCACACTTGGGTTTGTTCTCCTTCAAACACAGAACACAAGAAGAGCACCTCTAATTTTGCATGGTTTGGACCTGACCTGGCAGTTGTGTCATGTCATTCAACATTGTGGTTGCCACCTCTGGGCATAGTGAGTGTCAATGTGAAATTACAATAGCAAATTCAAAATTTCCTATTTTCTGATTTCTCAATGGTCTGCTGCTAGGATGTAAAGTGTTATAAGAGCTTAGATATCTCGCCTAACTAGGCAGGATATTAAAATTTACTCATGCTTTTAAGCTTTTTGGGCCAGAAGAGTAACTGACGTAGAAGAAGCAATATGAAATATTCTGGGGAAAATCTGATAGTATGAATTTTCTCTTCACCCAAGGAAGAAGCAGAAGTAAGGAATAAAGGTGGTTGGGAATTTTTTAGCAAAACAGATTTCTCTTAGTTTGTGTCATTTTTTTTATCTGCAGAAACAGCTTACACTCAAATACTCTTCCTAAAGTCCTTTCTCTTCCTAAAAGCCTCCCCAGGCTTCTGGGAACCTCTGAACAGAGACTACCAGAGGGAACTGTGATCACAGTTGCCTTGCAGAATGCTCTGAAATCAGTTGTTTCAGTGTTTCCAATGTTCACAGTTCCTGTCCATGGGACATGTTCACTGTGAAAATCTGGAAACTCCAATAAACTTTCACCAAACACGCAATTAGGATCGCAAGCCTGTTTAACCTGTGTAAGACTGCAGGATCATAGTTTTTCATAATTTCTTAGAGTCAAAGCTTTTGCAAAGACCTGCAGACCTGTGTGGTCCCCAGCCTCAAATAAGGCCGCTTTCTCAGATTCAATGCTATGAAGTAGGACTGTCAAGGAGCTATTCCAGGACAGAGACTCCAGGGTTTGTAGCATCCCAGGCATGCCTTGCTGCTATATTCTTGAATAAACATCTTTAGAAAGCAATTGGTATGGAAATCTGGAAGGTGGAGTGCCCAGACTTACAGCACAGACCCAAACCTAATTGTGGTCCTGCTCAACTAAATATACAGCTCTGTTAACTTCAGCCTGTCTACTAGAGCTTTCTGCCAGAAAACCTGTTAATCAAAAATGCAGAAGGATTTCTTACAGAAAAGGCATCAGAAATCCATGAGGAAATCTCAGTTACACTGGAAGAAAAAAAATATCATTGATATAACTGATTTGTTCATATAGTTTCAATATATTTGTTGACTATAAGGTAAGCCCAGAAAAAGAAACAAGGCTTCCCCTGCCAAAAGAGGAAAAAAGTAAGCATATTTAAAGACAACACTATTAAAAACATCAAAGAAGAGCAATGTGTTGTTTGTATAAAAAGCCTTCAAATAGATACCTTTTGTCCTGGTGTCTCCTGGACTTTGTATTCACCTACAAAACAGTCTGAGTTGCACATTCCATTTAATAAACTGTAGCTCCATACACAAGATGTGCAGCTGAATGCTCCTTTCCCTAGACAGGCAAACAAAATGACAATATTACAAAAGAAAATGTCAGCTAACTCCCTTTAAAAATTATACTGACCACTGCTATGAAGCAAAAGGATGTTTGTCAGTGGCAGCAATCATTACTGAGGAGTTCTACATGAAGAGGTTGGTATTAGAAAAAGCTTGTGCCTTGTCCTGGGGCTTTATGTGCAAACAGAATTTATTTCTTATGTGTTTTGATATTCTTGAAAAGGTGATTTCGGAATCAGTTGTGCAGGGAACCTCTGACATATTCAGGAAAATAAATAAGGTCAGAGCACTGAAGTGAAATTATGGAGAACCTTTGCCAAATGCTGTCCTTCGCAAAATCCATATTTATTTTCCCTGTTAACTATTTTCAAACAGTGCTGAATTAAGAGATGTTTATGTTTGAATAGAAAAATTAATTATTTAGTTGCATAAGAAATAAACATTATTCACTAGGTTCAGCCAGAGCATCATATGCACCTTGTGTGTCTGACTCTAAAGACACATGCTGCATGCAGTATTTCTGTGAAACACTGAGGTGATGGGTTTGTCTTAAGTGTCAAGATGCACCCATCTATTTCCCTGCACTTTATCATTTTCTGTCATTGTCTGAAAGGAAGAAAATGAAAATGCAAGGAACTGGCATTAGCAGAAGTCTGCTGAAGTTAGTAACTTTCTATAATACAGAGAACTTCCTATATTAGTGTGCAATGCATGTTTTTCCTTACTGCGCTTGACAAAGAGACACCATGCTTTTTGCTGATATATCAGTAATGCAGATGCATTTCAGACTGGCTTGTGTTTTATAATTCTGTCTTTGTAATGATAATAAAAATTCTGTCCCATACTGTTTATGCCAGATAAGGAGAAAAACAGAGGAGATGGTCTGTAAATTAAAATGTGTATCTTTTTGTTGCAAATCCAAACAAAAATATTTCTGCTACTTTTTATAATGTTGTTATAAAAATACGTTGTAAAAATTCTTTAATGTGGCTTCATTCCAATGTAATTTCCACATACATTGTTATGTTGCAATTAGCTGTCTGTACTATCCACTGTATCCATTATCCAAAACAGTTTGTGTGTTAAAATACAATACGGTCTTCTAAACTGCAGCATGGAACCCATTTGCTGTTATCTTGTGTTGTTCGGATAAAAAAAGGGCACCAAATAGGTCCAAGAGAATTAATGCTTTTTCTTTCAGAAGTGGTTTAATTAGGAAAATTGAGAAACCACAAACAGTGCTCACAAAGCAAAATAGACAGTCTCTGAAAGTTAACATTGAGAAATACGTAACTGTATTAAAAGTAACAAATACTACTGTGCTTTTGGTTTCTGTTCGCCTTTCAACCTAAAGATACGCTTTATGGGCCTTTACTCTTCCCATTGTAGGCTGTAAAGATGTGTAATTGGAATTAAGTTCCTTGGCTTTCACAGAGTATTAGACAGTAGGACAGCGAGGTATTTTTCAGTCATTCTTAATATTTCTGTGAAAGATGAGGTCCATCTCTGTAAGCAAGTGAGCCCACTTTTTTAGGATGAGCATTTTTGTGAGAGGCCAGGCTGATGGAAAATTCATTACTGTTGTCCATTTTTTTCCATTCACTAACATGGCAACATGTGACACTGTCGTAGCCCTCCCTATTAAGTTGCTGTCTTTCTATTTATGCTCTGTGCTGGAAGCAGTTCTGGGGAAAGCTTGACAGGAATTCATACACTTGCTTTCACCTCAAGTATCAATGTAGTAGAAGTAAATGAATGGAGCAGTGAGTGCAACAAGTCACCAAGAGCCAGGAAAAGCTCAGCAGCCCCTGGGAGATGCCTGCATCACCCATGTGGCTAAAGCCATGAACAGATTGGTAGCACTGTACATGGTTAGTATCTTTATGAAATGTTCCCAGATCTTGGAGCCAAGATTCCAGGTGTTTTGATGACTCCTTTTTTTGCTCAAAGCAGAACATATACTTTTACCTTCACAAGTTAAACAGGAAGAGTGGCATCTCTCACAGATGTTGTTGTCCTTGTTTTCATAGTAGTACTGAGGACAAGAGCTAACACATTCGTTCGTGGAGCGCAGCAGGTAGAAATACGTATTACAGGAAAGGCAGTCTGTGGGTTGAGGCCCCATACACTCCTTACAACTCTTGTGGCATCTCTCACATGATCCTGTAGAATTTTGTGCAAAATATCTGAAATAGACCAGGTAGGCATAGCTTTGCATAAAGGCCAGCAGTGACAGGAAAACAAACATTTGTTTAATCCTTTGGTTTTTACAGTGATTACATCAATTTATAAAAGTTATACTAAAATGAACACAGGTATTTGTAATCTCAGTGAAAATAGAATAAATTTCATTCCCCTTGGCCACTGGAATTCATCTACAAAGCACAAGTCTGTATAGTGTTTAGAGCAAAAATTTCTAAAATCTAAGTTGCATTGAGATAGAAAGTATTTAAGTAGGGAGAGTTTGTGTGATTTTGCTGAGATATGGTCATAAGAGTTTTCCAGTTTAGTGGGATGGACAGCCAGTGTGATTGAACTCACTTTAAATAAAGTGGACTTGAAAGAGAAATCATAGGTTCACTTTCTAAATTTGAAATTCCAAAAAAACTCATTGAATTCACATTTGGAACTTAAATGGATTAACTATAAAGTTTCTCTCTAGAATTATGAGCGCTCAGTTCAAAGTTATTTTAATGGTTGTTTTTGTTATCACCAGCTATAAGCATTAACTCAATGCAAAAAAGAGTATAACCTTATCCAAACTTCACATTAAGTGGAGGCCACAGTGGTGGTTAGAGGCTCTTCTGCCTGTGCTCAGGCTGACTGACATATAACTTAGTATCCTTGTTCTAGTTCACGCTGTTCTGTATAGAGATAGCCAAGAGCATCTGCTGAGTGTAAGCCTGGCCACACCACTTCTAAGCAGTTCCCATCTGGGCATCAATTTTGGAATTTTCTACTGTGAAGGGAGGTTTTCCACCACTAGTGTACTGTGAAAAGACAAGATATTTTCTCCTGAAAACAAAACTCAGTTCTGTTTTACACAGATGTGGAATGCTGCTGTGATCTAATTTCTCAAAGCTCTCTCTGTGATGCAGCTCTTAGCAAAAGGTCTTGGGCCTTACCCTTCTGGACATTGGGTTACACATCCTTTTCCTTGTCTGTACCAACCCAGTTTGCAGGAAAGGCAAAACTGTGAGCTGTGTTTTCTAGTGCAAGTGCCACAGGTGCTGTGGCATGCAGAACACTGCCCCTCCGTGCTATCTTCATAATATCCATCTGGGCATGTTTCAACACAGGTTCTATCTGCAGAGACAACAATACAAAGTAATATAATATTCAGTATTCGCTACTATAAAACATCTCAGGCAGTTGTACTAAAGCAAACTGTCTGTCAGCAGGAGGTGCTGATAGATAATGTATCAGAACAAGAAAACCCAATATTGGGGTACAGTAATTGTTTTTTTGTTCTTATAAATTCATTAGTCCTCATTTCTGTGTTTTATGCATATTTGGAAGCTCTTCAGGATAGACAAGTTTTTGTCTTTGTAAAAAAAAGTAGCATAATAATGAACAGCAGATGTGATTTTTCTTAGAATAATCAAAAGTAGTAAGGAAAGTTTTTATCTGTATTGCTGCTTTGCCTAATTTTTACTCTAAGCACCAATCTAATTTTATTCTGTGTAGGTGATGAATCTGATGGTAAATTTGAGATTTAATTAGATTCATTTACAAGGCTCTTTACCCTTGTTTGCAGCTTCTACTTTATGTCATGTAATTAAATGTCTTTAATGCTGCAACATCAGTAAGTCCCACTTTTTTCAGTGAAATTTCAGTCATTGTAGTAGAAATCCTGAATGAGAAGTTAGTAGTGTTGTAATTTGCTGCAAGTGTGTAAAGCTAATAAAGTAGTAAGTTACAAGTGGCTTGTGCTTATTACATATTTGTCTTGATAATTTTGTTGCTTGGGTTGCAATTGGGCAAAGGGAGATACTTTCAGGTTTGGGTTTTTTGCATTTTTATCTCAGTTGCAGTAGGTTTATCTGCATTTGTTCATCAACTTTACCAGTTATAATGATGCAAAACAGCTGAGTGTGTTGATAAAAAAAGGTAAGTTTGATGCAAGGCCTCAGAAATGTAAAAAAAATCAAAAACTTAGGTTCACTTTTAATTTACACTGTTCTCTAGCTATTTCCTGCATGAAGGATTATTTAATATTTTTTCTTCCAATGATTTTCTAAAACTTTTGATTTCAGAAGACTATGCAGAGAAGAAATGTTGTGGTATGGGGATTTTATAATTTTTTCCTATTTGTTTCTGATACTGTATAGTCTCAAACCTACTCTTTGCCTCCAAAGTCAGGAAAGTAAATTTGCACCTTCGCCACCCAGTAGATGCTGACTTAGTGATCCCTTTTAACAGATGTTTAAGTATTCCTCTGCTCATCAGGCTGCTTCAGGGATTAAACAAGCCAACATGAAAATGTGCACTTTTATGGATACATTAACAGCAGCAACAACAACAACAAACCCAATGATAGCCCTCTTTTAAAGTCCTTGTAGGAAACAATAGGAAGAGTACATTCCAAGCAAATGAAACATACAAGTTTGTTGCTATTTAGAAATCCTGCATTAGGCCCGGTGAGTGGCAAGCCCTGCCTCACAGAGTTCCCACAGAGCCCTGCTGAAGAAATTACCTCTGCTCAATTTAACTACTCATCATGTCCTTATATTATTTAGATTGGTTGATGCAGCCCAAATGATTTACAAATGTGATGAAAACTTGTCTATTCCATGCTTTTGGTGTAGAATGAAATCTAGAGGCAGGAGAGAGACACTTACTGAGAAGATATCGGTTATTTGCACAGCTGAGACAGTGGTGTTCAGTGGGTCCTGAGCACTGGAAGCACTTCTTGTGGCAGGATTTGCAAGTCTGAGTTTCCTCAATGTAGTACTCAGTGGGAGAGCAGTATCCAGGTAACATGCAGTGCCCATCATGGTTCAATATCCATCCATTTCTGCAAGTTAGGCAGGCAGTGGAAGAACAAGTCTGGCATGTCCTTTGGCATGCTGAAAAGGATAAACAGTAGGAATTTCACCATTTCTGGATTTGTCTCAGAGTGTTATTACAGCTCTAATTTTTAAAGGGGCAGCTGTAATCTCAGGATGAAAGTCTGAGGGAAGTAATTTTCAATCTTATGCAAGTAGTTCCTTAGGTTTTCTTTTGTATTATCACTGTTTTTGCAACAGTGAATAGAGTCTCCAGCAATTCTCAGCAAATCTGCAGCCATTCTCAGCATTTTATCACAGTGAATGCCTGTAATAATAAATATACTTATCCTGGCTACTTCTCTCTCTGCTTTCTTCAATTTTTGCTGTTCTACAATAAACCTGATTATTTTTCTGCATTAGCTATCCTCTTCAACTCCAAGACACTGGTAATGACATTAGCTGTCACATGCAGGCCGTTAGGGGGTGACCTTTAAACAGACCGACTTGTATCTCAATACTTTTCTGGGGAAAAAAGCAGCTGCCGACCTTGGCAGTCTTTGGTGGCTTCTTCATAGTAACTCCCCTCAGGGCACTCTTCAAAACACATGCCGTTGTAGAGGACAAACAAGCCGAAAGTGCATGCTGTGCAGTCATCAGAATGAGGCCCATTGCAGTCCTTGCAGTCCATGTGGCAGGGAAAGCAGTGCTTGTCTTCAGGGTAGAAGTGTGAAGGGCATTCCTGCACACACTTCCCCTCGTGCAGGAAAAACTCGTCCGTACACTCTACAGGGGACAGCAGAACTCAGGTAAGCAAATCAGCAGCAAATTCTGACCTGGCTAAGTGCGAGAGAAGGTAAATCCTAGGAAACATTAAATTCTGGATTGTCTGTCATTACAGAAGTCATCAGAACATTTTGAGAAGGTAGGACTTCCTTTTTCAAATCTTTCCCTTCCAGAAGACCTACACTGGCCCAACCCTCAGATGGTATCTTCTGTGTTACAGCAAGAAACTATGAAAAACGTCACTTGCTCAGCTTTGGTGATATTAACCGAGCCATTTGACACTAATATACAGATGGCCTTTTTTCTGACATTTTTATGCATTATGAACTTCCTGCAAAATCAGGAATGTACATATCTGAAGTTTTGTTTAAGTTTATAATTGAAATAATAGTTTAGCTAGAATATATTGACCTAAATGTTTGTCTTTGCCTAGAGCTGTGAACGAGTTGTTATTTTATTAGTAATGTTAGGTTTAATATGTTTATTTATGGTTTGGTTGGTTGAGTGTTATTTTTTTTTTTCATCCATGTATATGTTTCCAGAATGGCTCACTCAATATTAACTATACTTAATATTTGAGGGGGAAATTTGGGGGGGGGGGGGGGGGGGAGGGAGGGGGAGGGCTTTTAGCCTCATCTGGGTACTGAAGGTTTTCCTTATCTCTTTCTTTGCAGGGATTTATTTTTCTAACAGGAATGGTCATTTGCAAAAATGTTAAAGAGGTGTGAAGTTTAACTAAGCTAGGAAAGAAACATTCTACATTTCACATTAGTGCACATATCCAAGATTTTAAGGGTGGATACACCAGATCAAAAATAAAATCAAATCACTAGGAATCTCTGAAGAACCACAGGACCAGGCAAGGTAATGTGAAATCTTTACAGAGTAATCATTTAGTCTCATCAAAATCTGTTTTAGAGATTGACAATGATATAATGATATGCACATCAGTTTGGTTTTTTTCTTGCACATTACTGAATTCAAATTTGGTTTTCTGTCAGTCTCCCTCCAGACAGATCCAGGTGGATTTTATTCTACATAACAGCAGTTCTTTGTAATACCTGTGCATATTTCATCATGAATACATTCCTGACACATTTTAGGGCAATGTTTGCAGATTCCTTCAAAGGCAAAATGCTTCTCTGAACAAGTAGATTTACATTTCGAGTGCTCCAGAAGCAAAGGACGTTTACAGGACAGGCATTGAGTTGCATTTCCTATGCATGTCTTACAGGATCCACTGCATTCCTTGCAAGTCTCAGAATCATTAAAATATCCCCTATGGAATGAAGAAAAACAGAAAGCAAACTGCTGGTCACTCTAGGCTATGAGAATTACAGCTCTAAATGAGACTCTCCCAGCACACGCACTTCACTAAATCAAACGTGTTTCTCACACAATTTTTTGCCCATCTTCCACTTTACATCCCATGAGTCTGAAAGCAGAAAATGTACATGGTTAGTGCTATGTGAAGGGCTTTCCTTTCTTCTTGTACTTGCTGTCTATGTTATGTTGAATTTTTTTCTCTTTATTTCCCCTCTACATAAGATAGAAAGATATATAACATTTGGGAAAACAGGCAATCTCTAGTCTTGTGCAGCTGACCTGCAATACTGATATCAAGGAAAGAAAGAGGTAACCCCAGTGGCTCTGGAGAGGAGAAAGTGAAGAGACAACTTCGGAAATGTGAAGGCTAGGAAAAATAAGGGCAGGGATTGAAAAGAAACAAAAAAAAGCAGGGTATTTATATAATACCTTGCATTAGTAAGAGCAGGCTAGAGATGGCAAAGAGGGAGTACATTTTGCTGCTATCTGTGGTGTGTGAACAAATGTGGACAGCCATATCTGGGTGTACTAGGCATAAATATAGAAAAAATCTGCTTCAGGTGAAGATGCATAGAAAGATGCTGGATTTAATCTGTCTACACTCTCAAATCCAAATTGTTACGAGGTTAAAGGATGGGTAAGTCAACATTTTGAGAAGATTGCTAATCCAGAGAACCATTGATGAAAACTAAAGAAGAAGTTGAGACACAAAGTACTCCCAGAATATGTACTTTACATTAACAAATTTGTTACTCCTTATAGGGGGGTGCTTCTTCTTCCCTTCTTGGACATGATCTTTCCAAAGAAAGTCAGGAGATGCATTAGGAGCAAGGTTGGAGAAAAGGTAGGAAGAACCATGCCTATTATCATCTTTTTTTTATCTTCCAGGTTTTGTCAAGGGCCTGCAACTGCTTCTCACAGTCCTGTCATCTTCTCTTGCTCCAATGTTGAATACTGTGTTACCCCAGTCTTTCAAAATTCCACTGTCAAAAATTAATCGTGCAGTAAGTCAAACCTTTTTATCTCTTTTTATCCCTTAAAACCCAAGCCAACCCCTTTAATAAAGAGTCTCATTTTTTGCTCCAGTGAAGAGTAGTTGTGTCTCAAGAACTTTACCTCAGAGTCTGAAACTGGAGTTTAAGCCCTGTGGATTTTGCTCAATGATGGGAAGCCATCATTTACAGTCTTGAACTTGGGAAAAAAAGGGGGATAATAACATTGGGAATGACCAGTGCTACATTAAAAGTTTTGTTATTCTAATTCTGAGCGGGATAAGAGAGAAATTAGTACTCATAAGAAACATATTATTGTCAAAACACAATTAATGGTTGTATGCCTCAGTTTCTAATATTAAAAGTTGTTTCTGGACTAGAGTAGGCTTTATTGCAATTACCTTGCACTCACCATGACATTTCATGAAGGAAACCTCTTCCACTGGCCCTCATTGACTTATTTGACAAAATTACCAGGAAGGCAGTGGCAGAGAGATTGCAAGAAAAGCAGGAGCTTCACATTTTTCTGAAGAAGAAATGTTAACCTAGCAAGGCTTTTTTTTCTGCTTAGCACTGGTTTTATGTATATATACATAAGATGAACGCTGATGAAAAAAACATAGAAAAGTGCCTGATCTAATGATCTCATGTGCCTGATCTAATATCCATTGCAGTCAAATGGGAATCTTTTTAAATTCCACGTATCAAAATATATTAAAAAAAACATGAGCTAAAGAGAGAAACACACATCATTAAGTGCTGTATTTACATATCAGGACTCAAATACATTCACTGTATGAGTTTATATCTCTGCTCTGTACTACTTTGAGGAAGGAATAACTGGAGAATATCTAGAACCTTTATTATCATTTACCGTGATGTACCATGTTTCTATTAAAGTCATTGAGAGCTGTTCCATCTTTCATAGGATTTAATGTCTTACCTTCACTTTTGAGTTTTTTTCTTTTTCTTTAACCCAAAGAAAATACTGTTTATTCAGGCAGTATGAAAACTACATTTACATTAGTTTCTTGTAGTTTGTGTTACACTAAGGTCTTCCTTGAAAGTATCATGGATCTGAACTTTAAAGGGAAAGAGCACAGAGGAAAAATCAGGGATGATATAAGAGGGCTTACTTACTCAGGGCACTCCTGTAAACATCTGCCTTTGTGGAGGAAGAGCAGCTGCTTCTGTTCAGCCTGACACTTCTGACAGTGCCACTGGTCAGAGCACACCTCACAGTCATCCCCGCACATCTCACACTTTCCACTTGCAACGTTGCCAAAATATTTTGGAGGGCACAGAGAAACACAGGTATCATGGATAAGAAATTTTCCTGGCAGAAAAGCAACCCAGGGGGGTAAAGGCATCAATTAGGCATATATTTTAAAGACTTCTGCCTTGGATGGCTACAGAAAAAGCTTTCGACTTCTCAAAATTCAACTTTGGTTCTTAAAAGCATAGATAAAACATGCTTTCTTTAAGACATTTCCCAAACTATTTTGCTCAGACACTGACAGTTTGAAGGAATCATCAGGATAATCTAGTATATATCTAATCACTGAAGAAATTCCTATTCGGTAATTCCTGCATCATATCTACAAATTTTATTTGAAGGGAAAGAAAAGGAACAACATCAACATGACAATATTTTAACCCATATTGCCAAGGGCAGCCCTGTTGACTGAATTCAGCTGTTGATTGTCTGATTGCCTTTTAGGCTGTTGAGAGACTTTGTAGTGAGCACTGACAAAAGCGTTCTTTGGAAGCATGTAGGGTACAAAATATTACAGTCACTTGCAAACTTATCCAAGGAAGCTGAAATGTTACCTTCTAGACATGAAGTACACACATCAGCAGATTTCTCACAGGTCATACACGAAGAGTTACAGGACAGCAATTTTCTACTTCCATCTGGGATGAAAGGGAAAAAAGTTCCTTTTTTACCATCTTGTTTTCTTAATTTCTCCTCTCTTTAGAAGGTACGCTTTGTATGGCTTTTCCTAAAGTGTTTCGAAAATGCATCTCTGTGTATTTTTGGAATTCACAAAGTTGAAGAACTTAATGATTGTGCTTGACTCCTCTCTCCTACATTGTAAGTTACGAATTGTATTAAAAGAAAATATTAATGTTTTCCTCATATTCACTAAGGCATTGTTCTGGACTACTCATCACAAATGAGAACAATAATAATGTTATTCATTTTATAATTATCCCAATAATCTTAATTTCAGTGTAGTGCTCCAAACCCAAATACAGATATGTTATACTAATAGATGGCAAACAGAAAGATCTAGAATGTATGTACATTTGGGGACTTGGTTTAGTGAGGTGTTTCATAGACATTTTGAACAAAATTGCTGTAGAACACTGTTACCTTGTAACCTAAAGATTCTGAGTCAGAAGGAGACAGAAGTCATATAATCATAGAATATGTTGCTTTGGAAGGGACCAAGTATGATCAAAATCCAACTCCTGGCCCTATGCAGAATGCCCCATAAGCTGAGAGTGTTGTCCAAATGTTTCTTGAATTTCTATTCAAGGCTTGGTGTTGTGTCTATTTTCCTGAAGAGCATGTTCCAGTACTCAATCACCCTCTGGGTGAAGAATCTTTCCTGGTGTCCAGTGTAAACCTCCCCTGACTAAGCTTCATGCCTTTTTCTTGAGTCTTGTCACTGATCACAAGAGTGAAAAGATCCATACCTGCTGCTCCACTTCTCTTTGTGAGAATGTTGAAAACCACAATGAAGTCTCCTCTACTTTAAGCTGAGCAAACCTAGATGACCTCAGTCTCTTCCTGTAGAGGAAGTAAAGCTTCCCTTCCAGACCCTTCACCATCTTCATGGCCCACCTTTGGATGTTCTCTAATATCTTATTGTCTTTTTCATATTGTGGTACCCAAATCTGCACACAGTCCTCAAACTAAGGCAGCATCAGTGTGGAGAAAAGTAGGACAATCCCCTCTTTGACCAGTTGTCAGTGCTGTGCATAAAGCATCCCAGCATACACTTGGCCCTCCTGGCTGCCAGGGCACACTGTTCACTCACATTCAACTTGCCATCGACCAGAGCACCCAGGTCTCTTTCCTCTGCACTTCTCTTCAGCCTCTTGTTCCTTAGTCTGTACAAGAAACTAATCCAAAACTTGCCCAAATTAAAATTCATGCACTTGCTGATTGCCCATCTCTCTAACTTATCAAGGTTTGAGAATAACACCTATTAAATGGTTCTCCCCAAAGGCACTACTGCCTTCTGTTTCCCCTCCGAAAGGGAGCCTAATGAGTGTCAAATGGAGTACTTATGACTGTGGAAAAGCAAATTTTCATTAGTCTTTGCAGAACCATCAGTTATTAAATGACAAGGACATTGGAGCATCATACCTAACAGAAAAAGTCTGCTGTGCAATGTGACCACGTACCCAGCATGCAGCTGTGTATTTTGATACAAGAAAATTTCAACAATGGCTAAATGTATGTCTAATGAAAAAATAATTATGGATCAATGGACAATACACAGAAACCTTGTGATTTTGCTGAAAATAAAGACAAACCAAAGATACTTGCAGGTTGAGCTATGCACCTCATTTAGCACACCTAGCTCATTCTGCCAGTTAAATATGTATGATTTCTGTGCGTTGACTGATGACAGTAATGATTAGCAAAGTGCAGCATATCACTAAATACTTTTGTTCTGACTGTTATGGGAAGATAGTTTAGAATACTGAAATTTTGAATGAAACCCATGGAAGCAAATGCTTCAAGTATAAAGACAAGGGAAGAGAGCAGGAAACTTATATAAAGCCTCTTCCACAAGGAGAAATGATGGCCGTTACACTAAGCAGTTGAAAAGTGTGTATATGCATACCATACCACAGGGGAAGAAAAGAGAATAATAAAGATATGAATAAGAGAAAATGAATGAGAGAAGTTAGGTCCACAATTAACATGATTGGGGACAATCCATAACAATATGTAATAACCACATGTGACACTACCATTAGCTGAGAAGCCTCCAAAAACTCACTGAAGTAAAAAAGTCTCAATGTAAAGATCCAGCAGACCTGGGTGTTTAGCAGTGGGTCGTTCAGCAAGGACATGTTTAGTCACTCTTCAGCAGGACTACTTGTGAATACTACTTCTACAGGATAATGAAAGCCTGTGGTGTTGTTCCTTTTCTTGGCAACTGGCACAACATAAAATTTCTCCAGATATAGCTGTATCTTTAAAAGCGAAGTGAGACAATTTTACACCAATCAGTAACAAAGGGATGCATAACTAGGGTCACTCAACTTGCACCTAAACACTGAGAAATAGTACAAAAGTAAGTTGACAATGGGGGAAAAGGTAGGGAAGAGTCCATCACAACTGCTGGGACCAGTCAATGGGCTGAATCTGTCTTCTCCCGCACAGGGAGGCCTGTTGGGTAAGAATCGTGTTCTCTGCAAGCTGAACATTTTACTGGGGGTTAGAGTTGGTCTGTATATTAACTTGAATACCTTTTTTCAGTCAGATGCTATCACTGACAGCCTTTGAACCTTAAGCTGTCACGATTTGACATTAATAAAGAGTGTTACTCCATGAGCTGTCAGTGTGAGTCCTTCACGGGCACCAGCAGTCACTGGCAGTGGCTTACACATTCCAGGTCTCCCTCACACTGCTGGATTCCCTGACTGAGTCAGTGGAACCACGCTCCAATCCAGCAGGACTGCTCAGTGAAGGGTCCCCACAATGGGACACTGTCAGAGCAGCTGGACACAAGGGTCTCAGCTTTCCTGAGATGCTGACAGACAAATCAAACACTAAGGGTCCAGTAAATCTTCTCACACTAACACTGACTCTTGCTGGCATAATAGCTATGGCTCTTTTTTCCCAGCTGAATACCCTTTTTTCCGGTATATTTCAGGTTATGATATGTCCTGCTAAAAGGACGCTACTGTCTATAATTGCCCAAGTGCAGAGAGAAGTTTGAGTCTTTTTTAAGGTATGTAGCACATAAGCATTTTCACTTCTCTTATGCAAATATAATCCTCAAATAGAGGATTACCTTTTTGAGATTCACTGTCAAAGGGCTTTTTAGAGACACTACTCCTTAGCTTCATATTTTTCATTACTCTTCAGTATTTAACAAAAAATTAAGGAGTGTCCTTAAAGTTGACTATAAGAATATAAGAAATACTCCAGAAAAGTTGGCTGTTTTAAGGTTTTCTAATATCCTAACTTCATTTTTGCAGATCTCTTTTGCTGTTTTTGAGTGAAGATAAGGTGAAGTTAAGCAGAGAAGTTGTTAGCTGTTGATGAAGAATATTTAAAGGAGCCCATTCTTTCTAAATGTTTGAAGCCTTACAACGTGAAATAAAGATTTTTTTTTGTGAACTAGTTTGTATTTCTGTTTCCCTTTTGCAGTATGTCCTGTTTTTTGTAATAGTTACTAGCTGCCACCAGAGGAGAATGCACACAAGCAATTAGGCTTCTGCTGACAATAGAAACAACATTTAGCTTCCAGTCAAATATCAATATTTGAATTTCCCAATTTAAATATTGACAGAAGAAATTTGTAAAAGTTATTTAAAAAAAAAAATCTGGATAGGTAAGATGAGTTGTTCTTGTGACTCTGACTTTCATTTACTAAAAAAACTGAAATACATCACACATTTAGAATAAGATGAACTTCTTAAATTTAAGTTTCCTTCACTTTAAATGTAAGATACTTCCAAAGAATAACCTTATAAAGCTGAAAAAATGGTCATGCAACATGTACTTCCTTGGTCTTTGTACTGATTGCAAATGGAAATCTTGAAAATTACTGGGTTTAAGCTGTTGGGCTATATTTTCCTTTCCCTTAAAAGGACTTGAGTGTGCAGCAAAATGAATGATCTTTGGAGACTTACTGAGTTGTTTTTATCCTTAAACTTATATTCTTTAAAAAAACCTCAATATACATTTTTTATTTTCAAAAGCAAAAGCTCTCTATTTAAATTTGGGTCAGAATCTGAGTCAAGACCATTTTTATTCTTGTGTCTTTGTTAGAAGGAGTAATCTTTGGCCCAGCTAAGTCCCTCTTACTCTTCTATAGAATCTGAAAAACTGAATCTCATTATTTCTTGAGCTAAATTTCACTGCAACTTTGAAGATACCACAGTGCTCTTGTCCATTCATCTATTCGAGGGATTATAAAACTGGAAGGGTGCAGAAAGACTGGGAAATATTTTTTTCCTATTCTCTTTTCTCAGAAAAGAGGAAAAGGTTATGCATCATGAATGAGACAATGGCAGATTTTTTTGAAACATATCACTGTAAGATGTTAACTGTGATCCCAAAATTAAATTAAGAAAAAAAAAGTGAAATTTTATTTCCAATTAACATGATGTGCTCACAATTCCTTTATTTTTGCTTCAGTCATCTTCCTTTTGACTCCCAACATTTCAATCTGCTTTTAGAGAAAAATTGAATGAGTCCTCAAAAATATTCAGGGTGAAATTCATGGGTTCATACAGGAACAAGTGTGGTCCTCTTCACATGCTCACCACTTGTTCTACAAAATGTGAAGTTTAAAAAATAAAAAGCTGAAATCTTATACAAAACTCAAGGACATATGAGCTGAGATATGGCCATATATAAAGAAGCACGCCTTGAAATACAAAAGCATTTGAATTACCTAATAGTTCCTCCTTAATTTAATTCCGAACCACAATGGTGTTATAAGAGTTCTTTCAAGTTTCTCGTCTCCTTTGTGCTGTCCACCTTACTCTGTCTACCTGCTCCTTTTGGAGAATGGGTCTTTGGGCCAGGTAGTACAATCAGGAAGTGTTCAAACCAGCAAAAGATGGTTTATTTCCTTCAGTTTAAACCTCATATATTCTTGATTTTCTATGAGTAAAGAGGGATTTAAAACTTTGTGGTTTTAGTTGCTACCAAC